TGTTTATTTTTCCATATAAAATTTTAGGAATTGAAAAATCATTATTCCAATTCTACTTTTTTTTTTCACATTTAAGGGCTAAAAATCTACCTAGGTCTGTTCTTTGTCAATCAAGTAAAATTGTGTTTATGGGTGTTGCTTTGGTGTCCACTTTGATAGCCATTCATAATCCTCATTAAATCTAGATAGCAATGGCTTTTAATGGCAGTCTCTCCATTTAGCATGCCAAGATGTGAAAGGACAACTCAGCCAAAGAACTTTGTCTCTACATCATTGTTTGTTTGCTGATACTACTAATAGTGATGACATAGGAATATACCTCTGTTTCAACTTTTCTGCCTTTCCCACTAGTAGTCGTGGCAAAAAAATTTAAAAAAAATCATAGCTTCAAATGCATGGTTATCTAATATCTTGGCTTATCTTGGTCTTACTGAGTGAAGAGAAATTGTTTTGAGCTACATATAAAATAAAATATGTAATACAGTTCATGTATATATGTAACAAACCTATCTTAACATATTACATTTTTTAATGAACTAATGCAACAAATTTAAAACTTGATAATTGTTATGGTTTAGAGCTAAAATGTCTTCAAAAAGAGTCTCCTGTGTTTAGAAGGTGATTAGATCCTGGGGACATTGTACTCATTAGTGGATTCATCAATTGATAGTGATGCACCAGGGATTTAGCTCAGTGGCATAGGTGCTTGCCTGGCAAGTGCATGGTCATGAGTTTGATCCCTGGTACCAAAAAAAGTCCCCCCAAAATTGATAGTGATGTTAGAAGGTAGTGCCTGATTGGAGGTGGCTCACTACGGGTATGACTTGAAAAAGCTACGTTCTGTCCCAGGTTCTACCTTTCTCTTTCTGCTTCCTAGCTGTTGTAAAAGAGATGACTTTTCTCCATCAGGCTTTTTTACCATGTAATTTCTACCTGGAGCTTGCTGACAATGAAATTAACCCACTAAAACTGTGAGCCAAAATAAACCTTTCCTTTAGTTTGCAGGTGTCAGTATTTTGTCTCAGTAACAGGAAAGTGACTAATATAAAAATTGGTACCAAGAATGGAGCCATTACTGTACTATAACTGGTCATCTGGTTCAAAAGTTTTTGGAACTGATTTTCAGGAGAAGAATGGAAAGGTTTGGAGATGTAGGCTACAGAAATCCTAAAGTTTTGTGAGCAATGCTTTATGTGTGACACTGGGCATAACTTAAAAGACCAGAATATGATACAAATGTAGACAATAAAGGCCAGGCTCAGGAGGTTTCATTTGGGAACAAGGACTCCATTATAGTTGAACTAGAAGCCATGTATGTTACACTCGGCAGAAAATTTGTGTACATTTTGCCCATGTTCTGAGACTTCTCAGAGACTGACATTAGGACAATAGACTAATTAATCTGCTGGAGGAAATTGCAAGGCAGCCCAATATTCAACCTATTCTATGGGTACTGCTTGCTAATTTCACCCATATCTTCACCGAGAATGAGGAGCAAACAGAGATAAATGATTTTAAAAGTTTGCAGTTTCACCAGAAAAGAAGAACCCACAAAGTTGGGGCAAATGAGCACAGAGTTACTGAAAAGGTTTGCATTAAAGAAGCCAAGCATTTGTACAGGGACAAAAAGAAAGATGCCCGGGGGTCGTGTCAGAAATCAGCAAGACCCCACCCATCCCTGGCTCAAGGGTACTAGATCATTAATTTTTATTTGAAAAGTGAGTGCCTGGGATGCCTGCTCATTCTGAAAGAGTTTTGGCCCAGCCAGGACACTGAAGCTGGTAAAGCCTCAGGTGGAACCAAGGAGCTCCATCTTCCCCACCCCTAGGAATTTACCTATGGTGCCAAACAAAGACCAATGGGCTACCTGTGCATCCCTAATGCCCCCTCAGGCTCCACCCCAAACCTAAGCTACATATATGCTTCCACTCCGAGTGTTCCACAGAGAGATCGAGAACCCCAGGGGGAGAGGCCGCACCCCAGGGGATCGGGGGTGTCTCTCCCCACATTGTCAAAATAAAGGTCATTTATATTTCATACTTCTTATCTTTTCAGCCGCCACCGTCCCCCACAGTTCTATCAATTCAGTACCACTTAGGGAAGTATATCCCCAAATTCAGCCATCCAGGTACTCAAAGACTATTGCATCCATGGCCTAGGTTTACAGGCAGTTGAGTTAGAAATAGGCAGTCAGACAGGACTGGACCCTCAAAGGAACCAGTGCAGAAGACCAGATAGCTGTCTTGTAACCTTAGAGGAGATAGCCACTTCCTGCTGTGGGCCAGATTTCAAAACAAAAGACAAAACAAATGCAGCCATACCCTAAGTATAAACCTCAGGGATTGATATTCTAAATAGGTATGGATCATCTTGCGAAATCACCAGGAGTCACCATTCCAACCCCCTACTGGAAGTCTTTAAGAGTAGTCTTTAAGCATGCTTGCTTGCTATGTGACTCGCTTCCCCATTTGTCCCTGATTTGGTCAATTTTACATGAACAATTAATCTTACTGGTTGACCATAGTTCTATCTCACCTCATACACACCTTGTGAGTTTCCATTTTCCCCCACTTTAGAGCCACCTCATGATTTTGCTCTAAAAAATCCCTAGAAAAGACAGTCTTTGGCAACCCACTTTGGACCTCCTCTATCTCACGCAGACAGAAACTTTCTCAACAAATATATTCTACTCTTAACCTTAATTGTTCCTAAAATTCATTCTTTGATTTTAGAGGATACAAATTCATACCCAATAGCTAGTAGGTTGAGAGTTCATTCCCCTATATCACAGTGGGGCCTGCCTATTACTCAAGGTGGCAACCAAACTAGGTATCTTCCATGTGGTGCTAGTGTCTTAGGCATGGAGAATGCAAGAGTTACTGGGTTATGGAGGATTTCATCCAGATTTCGGAAGGCCTGAGAGACCTGGAAAATATGTACAGCAGGTCACAGTCTTCACCAGGAACCCATGAGAGGGCAGTGTATGAAATTGTGAGAGCAAAGCTGAAGGTACAGTGGAGACTATGGGAAGTTGGAGATGGCAGGAACATGGAACATCTGCAGAGGAAAACTCCAAGTGGTAAGCACAACCAGTCAAATAGAGAGGCCATGGGACTTCAACCAGCAAGTCATGGGGGCATGGCTGCCCGAGCCCTTTTGAGTTCACATCTTATCACAATTTACCCTGGGTCCTGGACATGGAGCTTCAGGAATTAATGTTTGCCCTGCTTTTTGGGGGGTCTGGCCTGGCTTTGTTTTGATTCCTTTCTTTTCTACTATTCCTTCCATTTGGAATGAGACTATTTTCCCTGTGCCATTATATATTAAAAATATTTAACCTTTTTTTTTTTTTTTTTTTTTTTTTTTTTTAAACAAGGGCTTACAGCTAAGGATTTGCCTTGCATCTCAGAGGAGACTTTAGATTTGGATTTGCAGCAGGCCTGCAACAGTCACGAATTTTGCAACTTTCAGAGATGGTCTAAATGCATTTTTCATAATGGATGGTTATGAGCCTTTAGGGGGCCAGGGATGGAAAAATCTCCTCTAAAAGTCTCATTTATTTGGAAGGTGATTGGATCATGGGGTAGCTGTATTCATCAGTACCTAAATATGCTGTTAGGTGGTGAGACCTGGTCAGAGATGAGCCACTGGGGCATGGCTCAAAAGGATATATTTCCTGTCCCTGGCTCTTTCTTTCCTTCTCTTCTTTCGGGCTGCAGACCCTTCTACCATGCCATTTCTGGGGCTGGACAACAAAGAATGAACCCACTGAAACTGTAAATATCACTGTTATTTTACAATACTTATTAAATCTCTAAAATTTATCTTCAAGTTCTTATTCTTTGGGAAAAAGCAAACCTAAAGGCAAAGAAGGTAATAATCTTTTCTAAGTTCAGTACAGAAAATATCATCCTCTAAGGTATTAAAACAGCTCTTAATTGCCAAATAACTGGTCTTTGAAGAGAGTTCTCAGCAAAGACATTAAATTGCTGTCAAGGGCTTAGACATTTAACTTTCAAGAACTTTGATGGATGATGATCATTATTTTCAATATTGTTATGCATTTACCCAGCAGATTTCCCCCCAAGAGCCAGTGGGTGGAGCAGAACTTAAAACTGGTCACAGATCATCCAAGTGCAGCCAGCCCGAGGTTCCTAGGCTAGATAACGCTTACTCTGGAGTACAAGGAGGCCCCATGGTGAGGTGGAACACATTCTCCTTTAGCTGATTAAGCTGTTTCGTGCCAGGAGCCACAAGCCCAAAGTAGCACCCAAAGAGCCTGGAAAAGCCAGCAAGACAACCAGTGCTAACCAGCTAAGCCACTGCTTCTGCAGCTGTTTGTTGGCTTCCTCTTCCCCTGTTCAGGCTACAGGGCAGTCCCTGCAGTCAGTGCACTCCCAGCAATGCTGAGGGCTTTCCCCTTCATGGGTACATAAAACAGGAGGCAGGTGCTTGAGTTTCTTTCTAATTAAACTATGTAAAGCAAGGTAAACCTGCTGGTAGCCCCTTATCTCATTCATCTGTCAATACACAGGGCTAGGACGGATCTCTAAGTTCTCCCTTAACTCAGGGTCATGTTTTTAAGGTGAGAACAAAACAAGAATGAACAAACATCTAGCTCATAGCTCATGAACAACTCATAGCTGGGTATGTTGATATACACCTGTGAGCCCAGCATGCTGAGAGGCGGAGGCAAAAGGAGCCAAAGTTCAAGCCCAGTCTGGGCAACTCAGTGAGACTGCATTTCAAACTTTAAAAAATAAGTAAATAAAAGAAGTGCTGGGAACGTAGCTCAGTGCAAAGTCCCTAGGTTCAATCCCCTCTTCTACAACAAATAGATACATAAACTTTCATTTATGAAAAAGCCACCTGTGGTTAGAAGAGTAATAAAGAGAGTCATTCCAGTGACCATTTCACAAGTTTAATTACAGATAAACTCAGCTTTATTCCATTCACAGTTCTTGGCTCTACATGAAAAATAAAAACAAAAGATAACTTACTGGTGATTCAATGTCCTCTAGGAGTAAAACAGAACAGCGTTCACATTTCAACAGAGTTTGAGCCCGATGCATTATTTTTTTGACAATTTTCTCCAGGTCGGTCTGTTCTTCAAAGAGGTCATTAACTACCTCTAACAAAGCCTGGGACACAGGAGATGGATGTATTTAGGAGGATATAAGAGTGAAAAAATTTTTTACCCTCAAAAATCCATATTGTCTGTGCTTTAATAATGCATTTTTGTACACATAGTTTTTTTTAAAGCATTCACGATTGTTTCAGTATAATTCATCATTTCACTTTATAACATACTCTTAAAGTATAAGTACAGTTGCAGAATGGAGTTTCCAAATAACAGGGGCCTTGTGGTCATTAACTATAGGCTTTTACTCCTTCTGCAGTAATTTTCCTACTATGTGATTACTTACAAAACTAACACCTTACAAATAATAAATACATAATTTTCTCCAAAAAACATTTATTCCACAAAACTACAAAGCAAGTTTTCTTCACTGTCAGGAAGAAATAGTTTCATGGTCAAACTTGAGACTTATTTTCACTAATATACATATCTCATGGAATTCTGAATTATGGAGGTGATGCTAATTAAGGTTCAGAGCTTTCAAAAAATTAATAAAATGCCCACTAACCCCTCTCCACAAGAAAAAATACTGCCTCACCCTCGACTCTCCAGGGAAAACAACAAAACAAAAAGCACAAAAATTAAAAATGAAAACTTAAATTCTAACTTGAACACTGTGTATTCAATTAAATTAAATTACACCAGGCATGGTGGTACACATCAGTAATATCAGCATGCTGGGGGCTGAGACAAAAGGATCACTGCAAGTCCAAGGCCAGCGTGGGTTAAAAAATGAGTTCAAGGCCAGCCTGAACTGCACAGTGAAACCTTGTCTCAAAAAGACAATAAATAAATAAATAAACAAACTGTAATAATCTTCCACTTTCTCCAGCCAAGTGACCTTGCAATTTATGCTTTGAAATAATACTTGTTTGGAATTTTTTTAATGACACAGATATTTTTAGTCTTCAGAATAGCAGGCTGTGTATCGATGGTACACATTATGGTTCTATTAGGACAATCAGGGGCTGGGGATTTAGCTCAGCAGCATAAGTACCTGCCTTGCAAGCAAGTGGTCATGAGTTCAATCCCTGGTACAGATTAAAAAAAAAAAAAAAGACAATCAAAAGTGATGAGTTGACTGAATCTATTTTATTGATAGAATTTAATAGAGGGAGTGAGTTGGGGCTGATATCTCACAAAAAATTTCATGAATTTTCAAGTTCGCTTATATCCACTGTCATGAATCATCAAGCCAGTAATATGACTAATTATGAATTTATTTTGTCCTGAGGCAATTTGAAACGTGTGAAAATTTCTTCTCTGAATCCATGCAGGTAGAAAAGCATTTGAATGAGTTAATAGATCCATAAAATTAGTCTAGTTTACTGAGCCCCTGAATGAGGAACAAAATCCGAGAGTAGTATTCTCTCTAAAGAAAGATTGTGATTGTGGCTAACAGCCATATACCCTGTGGTCGCAAGCCGAAAGAAAATACCAGGAGGGGAAAAGCAATTTGAAAGGACTCCTGACTCTCAGGCATTTGGACAACAAATCACTGAAGAGGCCAATACAACCATAACTTCATCTTCAAATGAGATTAGAAACCAAATAATTACCTTAATAATTACAAGCAGAAGTCCAATACTTGGGGAGGATATATTATTTCCTTAATCATCCAGATCATTTTTTCAGCTGGATGATATTAACTAAACAATTACTTAACTTTTCAATCTATTGTCACTGCATGGAGAGAGCCTCAGGGACCTATATGCAAGAACACTTACCTCAGAGGAAAAACTAACATCCCTTGAGTCTTGCCACCGACAAGTCACAACAATTTTGTTTCTAATTGAAAATTGCTGCTTTATTAACAAATGACAAAAGTTTCATAATAAAAATATAGACCAGCTCCAAAGCAGGAGACAAAGAAATGAACATCTAGGAAGATATGTAATTCAACAGGCCCTGGAAGAATTTCACACAATGGAATATTCCTTGATTATTAACATCATTTGCCTTCCAGAAAACAAGTTCCTCACTTTCCCACTTTTCCTTCTAGTGATCTTCTCAGGTTCGGGCTCTTTGTTAGATCTCATTCCTTCTCTTATCCACAGTATTAACACTGTTGGCCCCTTGGATTTGAGTATCATGCGTATGGTGATGGTTCCCAATCTTAATCCCTAGTCCTGACATCTCTCAAAAACTTTAGGCACCCTGTGTCCCATTGTTTACTGGCCAAACGCACAAGCCACTTGTCATTTTTGCATGTTACACCCATCAGCAACCACAGTTAACCTGAGGGAAATGCCTTTCTTCCTCCTCACTGTCATGTTGTCAGCCGTGTTATCTCTTGGCTTTGAGGTAGATTTCTTCTAACTTCTCTCCCTGCTTTCAATTTTCTGTCCTCTTCCCTGATATGTTATTTTCTCCTGGGAAGCCACTGTGACCCTTTTAAAAAGTGAATTAGACTTCTCTAATGCCTTTCCACCACAATCAGAATAAAAGGCAAAGTTCTTGACATGCCCGCAGGCTCTTTTACCATCTGGTCCCTGAATGACTTCCCCATGTCCATTTTCTTTTTCTTTTCTTTGTTTGTTCACTCTCCCCCTTTCTCTCTGTTCTCTAAATATAATGACTCAGAGTCTAGGAACCTGGTAATTCCACTGCGTGGATGCAGATTTTTGAGTGTCTTTGTTCCTTCATTTCATTTCAGCCTCTGCTTCTGTATCATCTTCGAATAGACATCTTATTAATCATCTTCTAAAACAAACACCCCTCCAACCTGCCTTTCCACATCAGTCTCTACCACTAACTCTACCACTAACATTACATGATTTTAATTTATTATCTAAGAAGGTAAATTCCATGAGAACAGAGAGTTTAGACAGAGTGTAAAGCAAACTACATAATAAATATTTTTGAGTGAGTAAATGAATTGTGCTTTACACAAGGATGCAAAGATTAATAGTATATGCAGCTTCTCTTAAGAGTTTATGATGCAGAGGAGGGCTGTCAATAAATAATATAAGGCCATGTGATAAATATACATAACAGAAAAATGACAGTGTGTACAAGGAAAAACAGTAAGTGACCATGGAAAGACTAAGAAAAAGGCCAAATTTTAAGCCTTTTCCAATATCTTGCTAAATATATTACTAAGTTATAATCCTCCTATATTTAAGTGGTAGAGTGTGTCTAATACAATTTAATATGTTTAATAATTTAGTATTTGTTGAGCAACAGTGTCTTTTTTTTATTGTGGTGTTCTATAAATCCTGGAGGTATGTGAGACAATTCCCTCTGAGCATATTTCTTTATAATTCTATAATGTTCTCATAATTATCAAAAATAGCTTGTGATGTTCTTCTAGAAAACCATTCAATCCAAAAACAAAATATGGGAGGTGGAGTTGAGATCATGTTTGTAACATATTTTGCCTTCTAAAGGAATTACATTATAAAAAAATCACCAAATTATGTTACTATTTCAAAACTGAAAGTAAGGAATAGTGTCTTATCACAGAGATGTGAAATTAATTTTCTTTTTAAAATAAGTTAAGACACTTTACTTCAAACCACAACAGAGAATCTGTGCCCATTTCCATTTGGACTTATTGTTAAAGGATATCTTCAGCAATAGCCTTTCAAAATTATATGCACAAAAATATTCCTGGTCTATTCATAGATCGTTTGCTGTTTTTAAGAGACATGCTGACTCAGAAACCAGGAAGATAGAGAGCTTTGAAGACTATCAGCAAAGTTTCTTTCTACTCACCCTGCTTCTTTCATATTCTTTCCTTGAGGCAGCAAAGAGCTGAGCATTAGATATGGCGATTCCACAAAATGGGAGATACATCTGCATGACCTGAGGCAGAGACATCATTGAGAACATTAAAACATCCACCATTGAACTGAATTTCATATTTCTCAAAAATGTCTGATTGGACTACTTAGATTTCAATGTAGGGATTAAGAGTTGTTCATACTAGCATCTTAATTTCAGAAGGGATGTTTTAAAATTATAAGATGGTATAAATCAAACATTTCCTGGGGCACTGGGGTTATATTTATTAAGGCATACAGACATTATGATAGGTATCATTCAAGATTTGTGTCTGAAGTATTCCCACTTGGGTAAGAAATAAACAAGTGAGTGAATGAATGAGGCTATATCTAGAATTTAAGGCATGTGCCCACTTTCACACTTGGAGGCATGCGGATCTAAGTCAGCTCTTTGTACAAATTTATCTGTAGCAGGGATCTCACTTCACCTGTTGGTTACAGCTTGAGGAATGTCTGGAGGGATGGGCTCAATGGAAACCTAGGACCAGAGGGCCTAGACGCTTTTCCAAAGAGCTCCAGTTTTGTCCACTTCTGGGCGTATATAATTGGACGTCAATGCAAAATGGATCTACAGAAGCTTATTTGAGGAAACCATAGGGAATCTCTAAGAGAACTCCTTCTTTCAGAAGAAATAATCAGCTGTGTCAGGCCTGACCCTAACAAGGACTATCTCGTGACAGGGAAGCAAGGTCTGATACTGTCACTCAAATTCATCTTGTAGAATATCTGATTCCAGACACAAAGAACGCTTCCAGTAAAAATGAAAGGAGCTATTTCCCTCAATGTTTCACGATGTAATAGAAGCAAGTGACATTTCTTTAGAAGTTCTTTAGGCAGAAGGAAAACAGCATGGTTTATATCACAATCTCTCTGTCTCTCAATCTCTCCATCTTTGAGTCTGTCTCCATCTTTTGTTGCTGTCTCTCTATGTCTATGTCACACACACACACACACAAACACACACACACACACACAGAGGCACATACACACACTCACATGCACAACCCTCATCCTGTGAAGAGATACAGAGCAATGGTAACACCAAGCAGTTTTGCCTGTGCCCAGCAGAGGTTAGGGCACTGCTCCTGAGGACGAGGGATGGAGAGATGAGCCCCTCAGCTCCCGCACATGAGTATGTGTGAAACATCCCTACAGCACCCAGAACAGAATTATGTGGGGGTGGAAAGTGATTTTGTAGAGGACTTGAAATAAATAAAAATGAACAATAATTCTCACTCATCATTTTATTCCTATTGAAATTTTGCTTTGGTTATCTAAGCATGTTCATCTCTGACCTAAAGTTCTTGAAAGAATTTCAGAGTCTCACAGAAGCTAAAGCTATGGCCTCACCCTTGAAAAAGAAAGACAGATAATAGGGTTATTTCTAAGGAGAGGTACAAAATCAAAATGAGTTCATTTTTACAGATCTTTCCAGGGTAAATTTCAGAAGGAACAAGTTGCTTTCTGGAACCAGATGTTATTTTCTTTTACTCCTGTTTCTCCTTCCGTGATGTTCCTGGTTATACCTTAGTAAGTTTTATAAGCCAGCTTGAAGCTGTTGACATATACCTGCAATATATTCCCCTGAGTTAGTTATTTTAACTCTTTACTGAGGCGAGAGACAGTATGGGCAACAGCCAGGCCTTAGGCTCAGAGCAAATAGGATGCCTTTGATTCTTCAAGATCAGAGGAGCACCAGCCCTAACCATATTTCTTTGACATCTTGGAATAAGCCTAAAAGGTACACTCCTGCCCTGACCGCACTTCCTTGATATCTAGCATGAGCCCAGGGGTCATATGCTCTAACTGCTTTAGAGAAACCAAGGGCAACTCCACAGTCATTATATTGTTACTAGCTTTATGGTTCTGAGATTTATGGTGGGCTTTGCAGCCATGCTGTTTCCATATAGGCCTTTATAAACCCTTCTCCTGTCATGATCACAATTAAATAGAAAGAAGTCTAGTTACTATCCAACTCCCAAAATACTAGGAAAACAAAAGAAAAGCCAACGCTGAAACTCATCTTCAGGCATTGCCCAGTTGGAACTCTCTGGAGTGTATTTTATTCTCAAACATAAAACAGATGGGCCATTCTGTGTCAAGCTCACTCTCGAGCTTTCTCATTTGCCAGCTCCTGTGGAGTGGAGTATACTTCTTTGGAGTGTACCTTCTCTTTAATAAATTTTTGTCTTTCTTACTATTTCCATGTGTCTTGTTGAATTCTTTATCCAATATATAAAGAGCCTGGATCTTGAGTGAGACTATAAGCCTCTGCCTAGTAAGAGTACCATTTACTTTCCAAAATATTTTTGTCTTCAAGGGTTTAAAGTAGTTTATAAATCAAGCATGTAAGAAGAAAACTGTCGCCAAATTAACATATGAAATGTTTTCTAATATAGCTCAGCTTCGCATCAGTTATTTGGTAATATAGTATGGATTAAGCTATACCACACATATATGTAATCTAAAAGAATAAGAATCTTAAATCAGATGACTATTGTTTTCTTTTTATGGCTTTTCTGTGTGTAATTCAGCAAATCCGATAACTTCTTTGAACTTTTCTCCTTATCCATAAATGCTAGCTTTATGGTCTTTTTTAGTTCTAATATTTGGTGACCTAAATAATTAAAAATATCAGTGAGATGTAATACTCTGTTTATTAGAAGAAAAAAAAAAAGGATGCCACAAACATGCTTGCATCTTATTCAAGGAAATAATCTCTTATAACAGTGATTAACACTAATAACACCCTTTTATCAATGTGACAGGCATGGTTCTAGGTATCAGGCATGATATAAAGAACTGTATATGTATTATATCCATTTTGTTCTCACAGTTATATACCTTATACCACTAATTCCATTTCTAAAATGAGAAAAAATGCTTTGAGAAGCTATACAAATTGTTGGGAGACAATTTTTCTCAAGTCTTATGTTTCTGTATATCTTGCAAACAGAAGCGTTGCAAAAACCAGCACCTCATTCTGGGTGTTCATATAGTGAATCACGTTGAAAGGTAGAGATACTATGTCTTTCCAGAACAAGAGCAAAACTGTTTACTATCTAATGCAATAAAAGTAATGTTTCCCTCCAGGCAGATGTCAGGAAGAATCACAATCCATTTTAAAATTTTTGGGATCTTTGCATTTGAGGTTCCACTCATGAAATGCAACCCACTGTGTGTGCAGTTATCAGGACCAGGGAATCAGCATAAATACTGATACTTTGGCTGTAAATATTACTTTGAGTAATAAACTGTTCTCTGTCACTAACCCAGGAATCTTTTGTTTTCTGCCAGTTTCTATGAAATCACAACAGTCAAACTTGCCGCTCACTAAGTGTAGTAAAATCTTAGACTCTTCATAATTCTTGAAAAACTTGAGTTCTCAAGAACTGAGGTCAGTATGGATTTTCGAATCCTTATAGCCTAACCCTAGAAACTACCTTCCTCATTTCTACATTTACATGCCTCTCAAAGTAATATAAATCTTTCAAACTGTTAGTCTAATGGCCCAGTTAACTACATGGGAAGAGACTGCTGGTACTATAAAGGAACTCTCACTGTATAAGCAATAATAAGATGCTTAGAACAGAAAGTTCTGATACAGTAGCCATTGCCTGGTTTCCAGAGATAAGAAGTCCTCAGGGGGTGACCTGCCAAGCAGCTGGTTTAAAGCAGATCTTAAAAGTAGGCATCCGAGTGTGATAATGGAGGCCAGAGAACAATATTCAGGCAGAATAGAAGCTGCTTTAGGAGGGGCTGTCAGCAGGTAGCAGGGGGATCAGATTACACTTGTGGAAGGGAGAAAAACAGCAGAGCATCCTGTGGCATGGCTATAGCTGTACAGCAGGAAGTAAAGTACTTCAGGGACTGGGAGCCACAGTGCTTTGTACACTGTATAGAGGCCCAGTCTTGGAAAGCAATTCAGTGTCCCCAAGAGCTCAAGGACAGTTAAGGGCAAATTTCTTCATCCTCATCTAATTTTGTCTGGCACTCCTAGTTTTCAATCTAAAAATTTGTATTTGCAAATAACTTTTCCAAAAAAGTATGAACTGTTTTTTGTATGGTCAGTACAGTGACCTCTCAAGAAAGTCAGATCAGTGTGATTCATTCTTTAATCTGCCCTACTCTGTCTCCCAGAGTTCTTTCTCAACTCAGCCCTGACGGATGAGTTGGTACCATGACAACCTTAGGAAAAGCCACTCCCTAATCTTCCTCCATCTTAAATGTCTAATAAATATCACTTTCATGAAATTTTCTCATATAAATCTAACAAACCCTTCATGTCTTAATGTAATTCCAATTCTTATTCTTCTGTGGGAAAAAAGACAACAAAAATTTTGCCAATTTAAGCCAATTAGGAAGCACTTACCCATCTTGAATGGCAAAAGAGATTTGTGTTGGCTTACTTTATGTACTCTAATTTTTCAAATTAATGCTTCCTCAGCAGCATCCACAGAAAAACAAAGTAGCATCCTATTCATTGTGCTTGAAACATTACAGATCAGTTCAATTTAACAAAGGCTGTTTGGCTGCCTTCTCCTGTCAAACACTGGGACAGCAATACCCTATGTAATAAATTACATGACACTATTTTGAGTCTCAAATTTATCATTAGCATCAATTATACCCACAAAATGATTACTAACCAATTCAATTTCCTTCAATAGTTGCACAGAAAATAAAGGTTAACACTCAAGTTTCTCTGTGAAATTAAAGACCTTCAAAGATTTGCCCTGGCTGTATCTCCTAGTCTACACACTAAGTTTCACAAACTGAGAAAGTCTTGCTGGTTAGTCCCCAAAAGTAATCTATATTCCACTATATCTTTACTATCTATATCACTTGGAATTATTTCTCTTCATTCATCACCTCCAACTATATCTATCAAATGTATAATCATTTTACAATTTATTATATTGTCATTTTGGTTACATATATTTTAAATAATACAAAATAAAACATATTCATTTTAAAATTGAGTTTTTTGCACTTGCATTTCCATGAATAATTTATTCAAAC